ATATCTTCATTTGTACCTTCATAATGATATTAGTAGTTGTTTTTTTTTTTATATGACATTTCACTCTCGAAAAGTTCTGCTTTCATTCGTATTGTGTTCTTCGGTCCGCTTTTCGGTACACGCATCGAAATAGGTACTTGTAATTGTAAATGAAATAACGCTGAGAGTCAATTTGAAAATTTCCTTCGGCACAGAGCTCCGTCCGCATAATTCGAAGGCTCTGTTTCTTGCGTTATATTAACTGTTTGATTGTACAATTGAATTTCTAATCAGACAAAAAACTTTCGAGAAATTCCAAAATGATTTCAATGCTTTGCTAGAGGCCTACCTATAATACTGCATCGGCTTCCATTATCTTCGTTGCCACGACAGCTGCCAGGTGTCGATTTGCGACCAATATCTTTCGCTGAGCCCCCATTGGAATAATAGTTTGATTATTACGGCTAGTTGTCATAGTTAAGGGAAGCAGATCTGTTCTTCGGCAGATCGTTCTTGTCCGTTCAGCCTATGCCAGCAGCGGCACGGGGTACAAAGCCTCGCATAGGACTCTTCAACCGTACCCTCCAAGGAATCGGCCTTACGATGCTTCGAGGTCAAGGAAGGTCTTCTTCTCGTCTTCTCTGGGTTTTTGCGAACGAAATGAAGATTTGTTCGAGTGTTGTATCTGACACGATGACATCTTCGAACAACATCATTTTGTTTATGTCGTTCACGCGCTGAAACAGAACGCTCCACCGGAGCGACGTGTCTGTCACCTGGAAGTGGAGCAAACTCTGATAGTTCTCTCGGAGTATAACATGTCCAGGGAAGCTCTCTTTCATGAGTTCGACCACCTCGTTGGCCTGATATTCGTGTCCTATGGCCAACTTAATCAGTACAGTGAAGCCTTCGCCGTACTTCGACTTTAACTGCTGTGTTGATCCGATACAACGGAAGCGACCGTTTACCATAATGCACATTCTGTAAATGTCGCACAGAGGCGAGCAACGGTTAGGAGCAGTTGTGTTTACGACGCGACTGATATGTGGACATGCGCGTAATGTCAACAACGTGCATGCCAGTTCAGGTACATCTGAGTCTAATCTATGAAACTATGCAGCTTCTAGGAATGGAGTGATCTACTTAGAGATTGGTCAGTATTGTTTAATGTTTATTCTCTGCACGAACGACAGGCGCTCACCTGTGGCAGAGAGCTTCACACTCCTCCATCGAGTGCGACGTGAGAACGATCGCCGATCCCATGTCTCGTTGAGCCCGCAACAGGGTGCGCCAGATCTTTCGACGAGCCGACGGGTCCACACCGGCCGTGGGTTCATCCAAAAACATAACTGTTGGATTGCCGGTGAGAGTTAAGGCGATAGACAATTTGCGTTTAGTCCCTCCACTGAAAACGCAGTCCAAAATATTGCACAGAATTAAAACTGCACTAATGGAAACTATGACATCTATTTCATATTAACTGTAACTTTACAAAAGCAATCGGCACGTAAACCTTAGTACAAGTAACTAGTACCGTTGGTTTTCTTCGACACGACACCTTTATGAAAACGTTGAAATATTCAGAAAAGAAATCTGCTTTTCTAATTACGGCGCGTGCAGGTGTAGATGAGATAGCTTCCTCGAACCTCTCTTTTACCTGTACGAGTCGGTTGTTTTGTCTGCGTGAGCTTCGAGGTCAGCTACGTCGATGATGAATGCGGCCAGATGCTCAGTTAGATTTGGAGGGACTCCGCGTAGGGCACAGTATAAGTGAAGCATTTCGCGACCGGTCATCTTGTCGATGAGTGCGTCACCTTGAGGGCAATAGCCGATGTGCTTCTGGAACTGAATTCGGCAATTGAAATACGATCATGAGGTGTACTGCTACTTGTAGATCGCAAGAAAATTTGCTTGTTCCAATCTACATACAAAATTCATAAACTTTGGTATATGAAGGCGATCTGCATGAGATGGAAACGACGATTCTACTAGTACAGACTTTTAACTATTGGCAATATTAGAACAGGCTTCTGAAATGAGGCTGTTAGATTTATTAATTATTATATTTATTGATAATTATATTTATTACTTGACGACGTGAAAATGCCAGTTGAGCTAACCTTTTGTACGTTCTTTCGGATATTCGTGTCTTTAATGTAAGCGTTGCCTTCGGTACACATTAAATCACCGGTTAGCATTCCGAAAGTTGTCGTTTTTCCAGCTCCATTTACTCCCAGCAGGCCGAAACACTCCTGTTCATGAACCCTAAAATTCCATAAAAGTAACGCTATAGGTTAACGCTTAGAATCAATAAAAAGCTAATATATATATATATATATATATATATATATATATAGAGAGAGAGAGAGAGAGAGAGAGAGAGAGAGAGAGGGAGAGGGAGAAATACTGGAGGTTATTTCCAGTGAGATGACTATTAGTATTTCCTTAAGAATTTTGTTGTACTGACTTACCGGAACGAAATGTTATCGACAGCTCTAAATCTGCCGTAATCTTTTGTGAGGCCATGCGCTACCAACGCCTCGGTGGAAATAGCTGCAACGCCTAGGCGGACCAGCCGCTCTGTTTCATATCGTTCCTTATGGACATCATCGTCCTCGCCATTAGTTACTGCAAAAAAGAATGGCAATTTGCCTTAATTAGTGTATGAGACTCAAAATTTCTTGCGAATATTATCGGCAGGTTTGAGGTTCAATGAATCTTGGTTTTAAAAATGGGTATATAAGATGACAAAAAACCGTATTTTACACACCTCTTAGACTTAACATTTTTTCAGTGCTAAAAAGTTGCGAAAACCAATGAAAGGTCTTGGTCTCCCGTGTAATGAAGACTTCGTAATTTAGTGAAGTAGGCTTATCTAACAGTAACCACTTTTCAGCTTTGAGCTTAATTAAAGGTAATCGTTAATGAATCCGAAAAATTGAGTACAGAACGTTTTTCAGGCGAAGAAAACCATTTTTAACCTAGCAAACTGCTTTTGGCTAGTACCCAGCCACAGAGCCCGTGGTGTACCTAGAGTTTGTTTGAGCTCGACGAAAAAATAATGAGATAGTATGCCAGTGTTCTCTATCCGATACACCGATAATTAAAGCCAGGACAAAATTTCAGTGACCGTATCATTCTTTTGTCTGCATAAACTGTTTCTACTTACATGAATTTGCGTTAGGATAACCGCCGAACGATTTGCGTCGTAGCTTATTCATCTTATCAAAAGCGAAACAGAATAGTCTTTGTGCGTTACTTTCCATAAAGATGAGCACTGCAAAGAGTACTGTTCCAACGATAAACAGCGCCAACATCTGAAAGCCTGCCCCGTCACGTTTTTGGAAGGCAAATGGGGAAGTGTGCACGTAACAGAAATTGAAGCCCTCTTGATAGAACTCGTTTGCGGGTTCACAGGCTACGAGTGGAACCGGAAATCAATAAAGAAACCAATTTAAATATAGTATCCACGACAATGTCTATATGGTATCGCAGAAGCGCAATCGTCACACATGAATACGGTTGAAATCTAAAAATATCGTTCGTCAAAATGAACCAATGCATAACCACCCATCTAAGTCGTCCAAGAATAAAGGTCCACTTCGAAAAGCTTTTCTTCATTCCCCGAATCAAGGGATCAGTCCTTTAGACAATTCTTAAACTTCAACAAAGCAATTAAATTTTTGGACGCTACACAGGTGGTTTTTCCCTTACGACAAATAGGGTTTTGTGTGATTTTTCTAATACCCCATACACGCTCCAATATGGGCATTTCTAAAAGCCGTAATTCCATCGAGGGGCGTACATTGATTTACTCACAATGACAGCAAGGCTTCACAAATGGACTGATTAGTGAGTTGTTACACATTTCATCCATGATTTTGCGGTTATCTTTGCAGAAATCTCGGGAGAGGCCGTTTACGTGGATGTTAACAAAGCCCCACACAACACTGAACGAAGGTATATAATTAAATGCTTGAAGAAAAAAAGCAAGGGCATCAACGTCCAATTTAAAAAGGTTGTGTTTCGTCATACTCAACATGTCCAACATCGCCATAACGACCACAATAACAGACCCTGCAATGGAGGTAAACAGTAAATTCGACATATATCAGTTAATTCCTGTTCAAATTGCACAGTTGGGTTACAAGCAGGAAAAAAGGTATGTTACTTACGCTGCCCTAGAATAAATAATCTTATAAACAATCTGAGCTATCTTGGCATTCACACGCCTATATTACAATATTAGCTCATATCTATTGAAATTGGCCTGCTGGTTCACTATAAAACGAGAGAAACATAGAGCTAACATCTAATTTTCTTTCTACTTTCTTCAACTTCCGATTAAGTCGAGATCGTCCTCCGCTTGAAAATTTTAACTTGTAAAGTTTTGTAATAATAAATAATTCTTGCCTATTAAATTTTCTGCTCAACTTCTCAAAATGAATAATTCGGTTATCAATAAAAATTACCCTACCAGAGAGTACATTGAAGACGAGCAGGTACATAAATCCGGTGGCGGGCTTGGTAAACATGTACGACGTAATGTAAGACATTGGAGTCATCGCATAAGCATACAAAAGCAATATCACCAGGGTCGCTTCTAGAAACCCAAATATCGTGTAAAAATAATAGAAACATAGCATCAAAATGGAGACCAGTTCACAAATGACACACATGATAAATATATTGTATCTATTATAAAATCCTTTGTCTAATCCTGTAGGAAGTCATTTACTTGAAACAAGGCTAAGTTTTTAAGTAGATATTTCTTCGAAAGCCGCCAACAAGCTTCATCTTTTACGTGACTGAAGCACTAGAACTTCAAACCAACATTGTCAGTCACCAATTCCGCCTGCAGCTGAAAGAACTCGTCCCAGTTGACAAGTCAGCAGACTCAACTGTACATGAAGTAACTCTCTAATAATTGTTACTTCATGTAGTTCATGTACCACCGTATGCACTTGCTTCAAGTCAAAAAATAAAATAAATAATGAATGATTATCAGATATCCATACCCCAAGTGTCATCGAAGACTCTGAACGATTCAAGTGGATTGTAGATAAGCATAATGGCCAGCATACAAACACATGATACTACTAGCAAAATTCCATCGAACACGAAGCTCGCTCCGAAGTAAATCGTCTGGCTCACGCCAGACATCAGTTGCACCTAAGATATCAGATTAAATTGTTTCAGTAAAAAGGTTCAGTCGAGACTGAATCACAACTACAAAAATTGCTATTTTTCTGATTGTAGAAATAAGTGACTTCGTCTGCTGAGGTGGTCCTCTTTTTTTCCTGTGGAACAGAATTAGCATGTAGCATAACTGCTACCGTTCCATTCCAGCAGCAGGACTTGGCTAAATACTATTTTATACAGCGACAAACAAAATACGGTGTCTACATAATAGTTCATTTTTACCGCCTAACGCTAGCTAACATACACGTTAAACGTTACTGTCCAGTTTACAAGAAACATAATACTAAGCTAGCAACGAATGATGAATTTGTCCAATTCTATCTTTCGCGCCAAATGAAGCAACATTTAAAAACGCTACAAGCTCTTGCAGGATAGTTTACACAAATACAATAGTTGATTGAAGCTAGAGGTGTTAATAGTTAGTGATGCACCATTGATATCTTACCAATTTTGCCTTTGATATATTCTCCTGAATTGGGTTCAGAACGATCGAGCAGGTAAGAAAGGCAGTTGCCAACGAGATCGGAAAGACGGCAACAAAACGCACTGAAAACAGCATCGAATCATCATAGATTGAAAAGAAAAAGTTATTCATTGACGGTCCTTAGTAATAGGTCAAGCAATGAGGCTGATATAATCCGTCTGCGTCATCTAAAACGAAAACAGTTACGCTGTTGTGCAATGACGGAGTCGACTCGAGCGAGACATATTACCCCCGTCACAAACGAACACACATTTTTGCATAATTAGTCAATAGGTAACTAGCAGTTGTAAAGCGTAGGTCCAAAGCGCTCATGGTAACGCATTATACTATATACCCTACGTGGTGTATGCTGATAATATTTTGCTTCTAACGAAGGATACAAACAAATAACAAACAAAGTTTATATAAGATAAACAATTCAGAACGCATCGCTTCATGCGTTGCGCAAATGAATAACTTACCCCAAATAAGTTTTAGCAAAGTCGCAGTATGGACGTTTGTGCTATCTCGAGGATCAGTGGCCGCCTCAACAGTAACTTGTTCCTTCAAGGCCTTTTTCAGCATGGCCCGTTGCAAGATGATTAATGCTGAAGGTGCCGATAGGTACGGTTGATCGTTTACCCAAAGTTCTATGCCCTTCTTGGATTCGGCTACGCCCATCATCATGGTTCTCCTATAGGCAAGGGGGTCCTTCTCGGCTGCAGTTAACCGTAACACCGCATGATTAGTATAGAAATGTTCTCAATATATATATATATATATATATATATATATATATATATATATGTAGAGAGAGAGAGAGAGAGAGAGAAAGAGAGGATGTCTCTTTTTCTTATTTCCTGTCGACTTATATTTTCACTACATTGTGCTTTTCTACTGCTTTACAAAAATAACATGTCAAAAATTTCAAATTGAAAAACTGTCAGGCTTTCGCACCTTGTATATGATTTCCAGATATTGCGAACCCGTTCAAAGATTGACTGAATAGTGGGACACTTGTCGTGACTTAAGATCGTGTACTAAGTTGAGATGCCAAATATCATCTCAGAGAAAGGTATTCTCGACGCTATACACGGCCTGCTTAACCATCTTTCTGATAAACAAGATGCTCGTTTATTATCGGAAAGATAAATATAATTACAAAAGATAAGCTAAAACGTTTTGTCCGCAAACTCTATAAAAATACGCTGGAAATATTTTTCACTATTTTCTTGATTCAGTGAAGAAATACATTTTGTTCCAAAAATCTATTTCGTGACGTTGATTTAGATCGAATAAAAAAGATAATATTTGCAATGGAATATTCTACAGATATTTAAGTGTTGTCGAAATAACATGTCACAAATCTCATACTACACGAAATCTATGTGGCGGTCTGCAAGAGAGATCAGATTCCGGCGCTCAAACTAGGTCAGGCTTTCCTGATGGAACTACCAGTCCTTTCGCAGACCTTACTGGAGTACTATTGATAAACCTTCTCGGCACCATCCCACATAATTCATAACATGAGAAAGAGAGACACACACAGCGAAAGCGAAGGAGATAGAGAAACTTGAAATACTTGATTATTTCAAACGAATCCGTCGGACCTTGGAATTGGATAACTGTTGAGCTACGCGTCGCTAGCAAATGAAATTTCCGTGCCGAACACTCCAGTCTTCTAGAATCTAAACTGCTCAATTGTGCCCCAGGAAAAATAAGCTAAGAAGGGAAAACATTTCTTAGACTCTAAAATTGATGCTCAATAATCAAGCTTTTGTTCTTTTCAGGCTACAACGGTGCGGAAATCCATCGGAGACTGGTGAAGACGTTAGATAAAGAAACCTACGAGCGAGAATTACAGTTTTGAACGCCAGAGAGAAGGTTACCAGGTGGCAGGACTGTCGAGCGTCTCTGTCGGCTAGAACAGGCATTTTACATGTACCCATTACAGGATTTTAATCCCAGTACTTAAAATGCAGGATCAGAGTAGAGATGGCTTCCTTGTTGACTGCAGGCCATCTAGAGACTCGTGAAGTGTATTCTACGTGTAATTTACGGCACTATTTATAATACCACTCTGGTATCACGAAATTGGACAATATAGAAGAAAAAATTATTTTACTCAAATGCTATAAAGGGCAATCACCACTTTATGCTCGATTGAAGAAAAATAAAATGGCGTTTCTGAGAGTTATAAGTATCGCAAACTATCATTGGCTAAATCCTGTTCGAATAATAGAAAAACGCATTGTACCAGGACAAAATAAATCAATGAGCAGGGTGCTTTATATTAATCTGATTTTTTCATTTATTCTATGGCTATTTCCACTATGTGGATATTTCCTTGCTGTTGGTTTAAATGCATTCCGCGAAAACTGGCATTTGGAAAAGGCCACGAAAGTGGAACTAACTGACGCTAGGCCGTGTAAATAAATGTAATAATCAATTATTGCTTATCTATAAAGGTCGTTTTTTCAGAGACCTGCAGCTTTTCGAAGTATCAATGCGTCACACAGTATCTTACTTACATAAACTTAGAAGATACTTTTCGAAGTCTTGCTGCGGTATCACAGTGTTGGAAACGTCCTCCTCGAGCAAAGCGGCTTCCAGGTGTTTGAAAATACTTCGAGAACTATTTTGCGGAAAAACCGAGCTGAACCAGCTCTTCGTGCTGCCGTAAATCGACTTCATTGAGTACGTTCGGGTCTAGATGCATTGTATAAAGATAAAAAAAGTAAAACATATATATCCGATTTTGCACTGAAACAATTTAAAATCACACTTCTGCGATCGATAACGCCATATATGTCCATGAAAGCAAGGGAGGGTGTACAGTTATAATTGGTTGCTTACAATTTGTATTTGATGCCTATAGGCCCACTCGTCAAGTACACAGAATAGATATGTCAGCGTTAATGGCAACACGAAGAGTAGAAGGGGCATCCACCACTGCCGTTTGATGGAGTTGAATCGCTTAACGAAAAGAGCTCTAAATTGTTGTCGAGTGAGAGCACCTCCGTAGATGGGTCGGAAACGTGGAAATCGCTCTGTGCAGCACAAAGAAAAACAAGAGCAATATAATGCAACATAACTAATACCAAGTTATCTATGACTGACTATTTATATTATAGATATTGTAGTCACTGGAAACGTGATCCGAACGCAGGTATTTTTAGGAATAACTATCAATTGGATCGTACGAAACGGGACCATAAAAAGTACATGGCGTCTACGAGATCCACGTTACAAGTAATGTATTAGTTGAGAAAAATGTAAATGTTACAACGTCTCTCTATTATAACTACTTGCGAAAATCATTCTACTGCAAACGTACCGGTATTCTCCGAAGCCTGTGGCCGCCGTTCATACGACTTCCGTGGACTATGCTGTGAGGAGGAGCTGTTGTTTTGATCTTCGTCCGCGGAGCCGACCTTCAGAAAAACATCTTCCATTGTGGTCACTGCGACACCAAGTGTCGCGATCTATAACAATTCGCCATCACAACCAACGTTAATCAACCAATTGGACTAGATTACTGTGAACATATCATACATTTGCGACGGGTACTGACAACTGACGCAAACAATAAGCACCTACCTATAGATAAAGTGAAAAGTTGAGATTACCAAGATCACAAAGGCAATTTAACAGCGCCAGCATGGGCTCAAGGAAACTTAAGACCATTTCCATGAGTAACCGTTTGCCTTTCCGGCCAACGTATAGCCGCGTATTGATTAGAATCTATTTAAAGACGAGCTCAAGAAGGAAGCTAGAAGACCAACCCCATATCGCTTTTTGTTATCCTCAAGATGATGAAAAAGCGTCACCAGTTCCTCCGTGGGAGGAAATCCGAGGTTGAAAACTATTTCGTGATTCATGTTGGCTTCGACCACAGCCCCCCTCACATGTGATGTCACCACGTCGAGAATGTTGTACGAACGATGTCCGGGATAAGCCTTAGCTACACGCATCTTGTATCCCGTATCTACGATCAATTGAATACACCGTGTTTCGAATGTGAATTGGGTGTTTTTTTGTGTGCTACTTTATTATCCTACTGAAACATGTCGTATACATGAAAAGAAAAATTCAAATCGCGGTACCTACCAAAATTCGAATTGCAGTAAAAAATACCTAGGCGACATACACGCGCCCAGTGCCACTTTATGGCAGTCAACGCTATTTGCTTTATAAAGGGCAGACAAAAATCACAATCAGGAAAGTGTATATGATCCTTACTAAATTTTCTTTTAAGGAACATTGGCGAGCCGACGCATTTGAGGCGTCCGTGTGCCAGGAAAGCGATTCGGTCTCCCAAGACGTCGGCCTCTTCCATGTAGTGCGTTGTTAAGAGAATTGTGCGGGTCTTACGGGCATCTTGAAGGATGGACCATATCTCGCGACGCGCTTGGGGATCCATACCAGCTGTTGGCTCATCCAGAATGAGAAGCTATTCAGGACAAACAACAAACACGGAAACCGTCATTGCCATTTCATATCAACTGAAACGCTATCGATCCGTCTATAGGTATATTAATAATAACATTAATACCAATAATTGACAAGTGGACACAAAAACGTATTAGAAGACTGAATACACTGAATTCACCTCGGATCCCCCAACCATCGCATTGGCCATCGAGAGCTTCCGCTTCATTCCACCAGATAAATCTTTGGCAAGCGTGGATCGCTTATGAAGAAGATTGAACCGAGTTAGCAGTTCTACGATCTCGCCATTGAACGACGGGGTGTTTTTAATGATAGCAAAATATTGTAAATGTTCCTCGACTGTCAGATCATCGAAGAGCACATTGTGCTGCGGGCATAAACCGATACTTTTACGAGCCTGTTTCGTGTCCTTACGAATGCTATAGCCATTGATGAAGATGTCGCCCGATGTTGGCGGAAACAAGCCTGTTAATATATTCATTGTAGTCGTTTTGCCAGCGCCATTATGGCCGAGAATAACCGAGATCTGATTCTTGTAGAAGCGCACAGACAAGTCGTCGACAACTTTTTTGTTACCAAAGACCTTGGTGATAGAGTCAACAACGACGAATGGCTCGAGGTTTGGAGGTGGCGGCTCAAACATCGTCGGGTCTTCAACGCGTGGGATGAAACTATCCCGTCTTTCATGGACATCGATCCAATATGCTTTTCGGAATAGAAAAAGGGGCTCTTTCGGTATACCATATTGCCACGGCAGAACCGCATCGAGGTAGAATATCAGAAAAGCTAAAATGAGGCTGGTTAGCAGGAACGTAAGCAGCACGCTTAGCATGGAGATATTGTCTCCTGGGGTAGCGATGTCGGCCAAATTGTTAAACTGGAGTCCAACATCTGCAATAGCACGCACAGTGTAAGGGGGCACACAATGAAACGAACTTAGTACTCAGCTGTACAGTACGTAAGTACTCACAAAAGGTATTCATGACGTTTCTGTAGTAAAATTTTCTCAGGTAATGTTGAAAAGTAAGAGTCGAAGCCGATAGCAAGCGCCTTGTACACGCTTATACTGATTCGAATACTTAATACTGGCGTTATTCCAGTCGAAGTCAGTCTATTTCCACCAACATCTATTTATCTATCTAGGCAGTACACAAGGCCGATTAATGTATACGATATTTTGTTATTAGTGACAAAAATATGTATAACTAACCCTGAGTTTAGAATTTCTTGTAGAGGCAAATGTACTATCTTTTCCAGATCAGACCTTTTCTCAAAAGGACAATTTTCGATTACCTAAACATTATTGATGAGTTGATCATAGCACCACGTCCATAAATCTGTTACCAGTTCTTACAAAGATTCCCACGGACCCGGATAGGCTCGCCTAATCAGGCCTATAGATGTTAATAAACTTACTGGCAGATTCCCAGAAGCAAATAATCTTAAACGCCCAATAGCATCCACAGGTGGGAAGCATGGCGGTTAGCAGTTTGACGCTGGCGTCAGTGCTGAAGTAGTTATCCGTTTCTTTTGAGTCGATCAGGACCGTGCATAGGGTGAGCGGTAAAAACCAGAAGAGGATCGACACCATTGCGCCCATCGTCGCTAGTTCATGTTACGTTGTAGCGGTCATAAAAATTGTAGGTTATGCAAAAAAAAAGGTACATTCGAAAACCAATTAGGGTGCGCCCTTGAGCACAAAAGCTAAACCCCATTTGACGAAGTTGAAGTTATACTAGAATGACGGTTTAATAGGCCTGCTGGCGTTATGGTCGATGGAGCAAAGTAGTGTGGGCAACGATGTAAATTATACTATTTCTCGACCACTATTCTATTAAATATACCTTTAACTTAGTCTCCATTTATAACGTTAAAGCGCAAAACTAGCTCTATCTTGTGGGTATAGTTATAGCCCAGGATGAATAAGTATATCAGTGTTTACAATAGTAAACTACATTGCAAAGCTGTTGAGGCCCAATATGATATTTTTCGCCTACAGATAGGACATGCACTAACGTTGCTTCTAGGAATCGTATATTAAACAATATCTTATCGTTATTATTATTATTGTTACATCATACGAAATTTATTGTAGCATATCAGACATACGCCCGTTGAAGAGGACTGAAATCAAGATCAACTGGAGCGTGGCCACTAGCGAGAACGTCATTAGGACCAGAAAAACAGCGAACGGACTCGACTTGATTAAAAGTGGGTAGCCCTTAACGGGTAAGGCGAAAAGTACTGTCGCCAAGACTGCAACGAACGTCATTGATGTCATGCCAGTGAGGAAGATGCCATGCCAATAAACCATCTCCGGCTGACCGCTCATGCGAAGTAGCTCCTGAATGTTGACAGAAACACGCACCACCAAAAAAAAAAAAAACACAGATATAACAGAATTACCAACTTATTATCAGCTGTTGAGCCTTGAGAGAAAATGCAAAATCATTTGTCCCCTTCCCCGACCTGTATTGCCCAAGATACGCTTATGTGCATATATCTAATCGATCCATACCTGTTTAGTATTGAAAGATGCTATAATCTACTTACAAGCTAATTTGATTCTTTCCAGATTGGTCTCTACCTGGTGTTTTTAGCAACCACGTCAGTGTATAACAGATTTTGATTCGTTGATACGAATTTACGAGTTGAGAATAGCGTCAGACTCAAAGAACATCAGGGTGATCCATGCTAGTAACAAGTACACGTGATTAGTAACGTTACAGCTAAGGCTTTACCCTAATTCGTGATGCCTTCTCCTGGATAATCTGCATAGGGTATACTCCAATGAGTACCACGTACGAGAAGAGGAGGAACTGCGATATGAATCGTGATAGCTGGTCGAACGAGTAATCGGTGAGATAGCCAGCCGCTGGCTGTGGTTGTAATGTTGGCTAAAAGAACAGCACCGTAAAATAGGTACTGATTAGAATCTGACAGGAAATTTACTATGACGATATACCTACCCCTCCCCCCCTCAGCGTTGAGCTAAGTACAGATGAAGCGTCTTTCGCGCACTTTGCCTACTCGTTTGCCTGTGATTGCTCGATCGAAACGGAAAAACAGATAATTTACACAAGATGACCTTTACGACCCCGTGATAGGACACGAGCAGCCCTTTGCCTACTAAACTCAGAGACACATAAGGACTGGGCTCGACCATTTGCTTCCTGAAGGTCAGCTGTTCGATGCAATTGCAATGCGATTTCATGCGTCAACTTGGATCAGTAATTAGACGACTTCCTCGAGGATTTATGATGTAGTATATGGTGAAATCGCACGTCTCGAATTGCTGGCCGCAGATAAGCCTCTGCGAAACACTTTCGGTTACTAAACTGACTGAAATCAACACATACCGCGATCATAGGCTCGGCGTAAAAGTAGTCTGCAAAATGCTCGAAGATATTCCATATAAGCGGGTACAAGATGTAGGGTTCCATGGTTTCCGAAACATTTCGAGGGTCGTTACTGATTGGGAAGCCTTTTGAGCTAACTTGTCTAGGAGCATCGATGCTGCAAAAGATCGAAAGCACACGACACAGATATGCACACGACGAAAAAAAAAATTAGAAACGTTTTCCATGCATTTTACAATGTTTACTTGGTCAAAATAAAGGCTAATTAAACAAATACGTGCTTCAATCATGCACGTGTGTAATATGCACTATAAAGCTAATTAGTATGAACATACACTTTTTCTCCATACCTCGTGTCGGTTAGCGATTGTTACGTTTAATGCTATCAGTACTTACTATTAGATAAAGCGTAACAGCGTAAACAACCACGCATAAAATTATTAAATAAAAATTATTACTGACACAGTCGAACTTCGAGATGCTTGCTCGGTGAAAGCACTCCCGTTGAATTGATCCGTATAATTAGAAAACTATATTTTGAGGGTAGTTTCGTTACGTCAGATCACTTAGATTAGTATGTAACCTACCTTATAACGTAATCAAGGCGCGTCGAGCTAACCCGTTCCATGTTCAGGGCAATCAGTGTAGAGTTGCTTTCTTTTATGCTATACTTTAGTTCTTCCCAACTGGGGTACGCTTGCGGTACTTGAATGGCAAACAAAGATCATAGCATACAATGAATCTGGCTCCGATATACTGATAATCGTTAGTTTAGTACAAAAAGCTGTTTTCCAGAGTAGGCAATTATGATTTATGTTTTCGTCGTCTTCTAACCAGCTCAACAAATCATCTGTTCTATAATAGGTACATTAAGACTTGAGTATTCTATGATAGAATATGTAAAACGGCTTTTAATGTCGTCTGATACGAACATTTAAGCTAAAACGAGTACTCGTGAAAAAACAGCTATTTTGAAATCAACCGCTTAACAACGAAAATACGAATCGTAGGTTACGTTGATCTACTTCAGCCATCCACCGGTCTCTCTGTATTGGAGTGTCGATCAACCAGATACTACGCTGTTTCTATGTAGTTTATTGGAAAGGATCAAGCACATATGTCTGAAGAACACTAGCGTATATTGCACTGGGCTTGAAGAGCGAAAAAGGACAACTCTAGCTTACAAATACGCGATTTTTGATTTTATCTGATCAGTTTGCATTACTCACACATGATGTTGTTATACAGTCATCGTAACTGAATGAAATGTTGAAAAAGTTACCGATCAAACTTCCTCCTTGTCGATTTAGGTGTTACTGAATAATTCTTCATGCTCGAGGTCATGCGTATGATAGGTGTTCGTTGGAGTATTATTATAGCTTAAAAGAGTAATCTAGAGTTTGCATTGAGTGTGATGTCGTGTTAAAAGACGCTTCTATTTCAAAGTGGCATTTCACTCACAAAGTAGCATCCCTGATCTTTCCACAAGGCGTTGCAGTAGATGCTGTGTATAGGTGTTATTGGGCGCGACGGCCACTTTCGAAGAAGGTTCCGTGACAATAATCTTTATGTCAGGACTTTGTGGATAGGTTTCAGGACCACCCGAATATGGTAATACACCTTTTGTTCCGCAGTATCGTAGGTACACGAGCAGACCTATTCGAGAAATAAAATATTTATATATACATTGTTGTTAACTTCTTCTCAAGCACAACTGGGTAATTCTTCGTTCTGAGCTTCAGGCAAGCCGTTTATCCGTTTTAAGCCGTTAAGCCGTTTATAGGCAAACCGATGACTATCGACATCACTTATGCATCATGAAACGTTCTGAAGCACTACTCACTCAACAAAGTTATTGGTACGATCACCTCGAGCGTGGCGAATATATAGTGCCGCTTGATCTTGCGGATAAAGAAGTCTTTGTAATAGATGGCCCATAGCTGACGCCAGTAGCCCATTGCGCCCTGTAAACAAACAAACAAACACAATGAGCAGTGGTAACAAAACGCATCGTACTTAGCGCCGTTGAATGTAATGCCATGATGATTTAGCCATAGTGTGGGAGGAGCTAACCTCAACCGTGCAATCCTTCCGTGCCTTATACCAAATATAAAACACGCTGGACAGCGGCTGTCACGAAAATGCACAAAGAGTCAATGTTAACAGCTTCCTTTATTCATAAAAAATTGCAGCAGTATCTGTGTTGTCTAATGTTAGTTGGACTCTAACCAGCGACCCTGGTCTCTTAATAAGTGACTAGATCCTATGGTTTTACAATGACATAGTGATCATATGGATGCCATACACAAAATCGCTAATATCGAGACCAGGAATCTCGAATTAGCGTTAAACATACAGTCTGGTATCAAAAAGACTATTTGAATTTGTTCTGTACATGTGAGAAAACAGCACAAATCTGTTTCACAAACTTGGGTAGTTTTCGTTTTTACGAACGTTCAGGATTGGTTCATTGGATGATTTTTGTGATAAATCGCTAGCCGGTGTCGTTAGCCAACATTGCCAGTACCTTTTTAGAGTAACTTTATTTAAAACACAGATTCCTCCTGTAATGTTTCCGGCTGTCCTACTGTTTACCTATCTATCCGTCCTTTTGTTTGCACGGCTCAGGCTTTTACCCTCAACAGATACAGATCGGCACAACTACAATGATTCGTGTAGCTTTGCACAATCGTACAAGAAGCATTAAAGAGCGTTTATATGAATTGGAAACAATTCAGCGGGCAAGCAAAGGCTGTCTTGTTCCAGACGTCCTGTCACCTCTGACCCCTGGCCTTATTATCCTATGTCAATTAACTAATTTTCTCATTCTAATTAAGCCATAAAAGCTGCTGCTGCGGGCAATTAGTACTAACAAGATACCTGCAGGAGGTTTTGCGGTTATCTTGTTACTGCGAAGAAAAGTTGATTTTGGCTTGCAAAATTTCATGTAAATATATATGGTACACAAAGGAAGCGAATCTAACGAGGGGTGGCAAAACATCGTGATATTTCTGAATTTTCAACCGTTTTCTGAAAAAAAAAACACTTTATTCAGTTTACGTGCAATAACAAGCTTACGTGCACAAATCATACGTACATACATAATACGATATAAGGCGTAATAGGATAATTGAACTGAAATAATTTTGTCTCACAATGGAAACGGATAGGCACATATGATCAAAAACAAAGCTACTAATGTCCTTTTTTTCTAACCAGAATAATGGGTAATTTATGAGCTTTGCCCCTTGCAACAGAGTGGCAACTGGCAACGGAGAACCTTTATTTCCGGAAATAAATGGGTGTTGTGTTGAAATGAGATTCCATGATAGCACGATAGCCCCAGTTGATTACCAGTCTCTGCTACAAAAGGAACACAGCAATTTTTTATAAGTGTGTTTTGGTCAGGAAGAAAATACCTGTCGAGCTAATTACATTCACCACTGTAGATAATGTTTCCTATGCACTATTATTGATCCAGCTACGTCTTTCTGAAAGCAAGCTTGAAATGGTCCGAACAGAAACACGCCTATAAACTACAGAGCGCTTGAATGGCGCAGAAAATGTGCCGAGGTGTGGACGGCGTTCTCCAAGATCGATTTGATCACTCAGGATCCTGTATGGTGATTCATGATTAGGCAAGCACAACTTCTCCAAAGAAATGGTTGCAATAAAATGCTTAAATAGTTTTCAGACTTCTTTCTTGGGATTTATCCAGCCGGTGCACTCACGGGCATGCGCGTCGTAAGGTACACCTTTGCTAACACAGAACACAGCGTAATTGTGTTTTGCCTTGCAAATACAAAGGTGATCGTTGTAACAAGAGGGAGTAACACTCCTGTCATGTTACTAAGCCAACTAGCTTTGCTGCTTTAGGCGCAATCATCTTTCAAAAATCTATTACCATACCATAATGTATAGAATTTAACGGTGATCAGGATATGCCATTTGAGCCAATATATATAGACTGTCGAAAACGATTCCGACGGACTTTAAAATTGAATAACTTTTAAAAAAAGGTGGTCCAGAATAATGAATATTTAATAGGTCCCTTTACTTTTTACACACCTATCCTAGCACACTGTCAGCTTCTGGGCAACCATATACCTATCATTTACGTTCCCAGAAGCAACTTCTCTGCCTGTGGCTTCTTGAAGTACATCGATAGTCTGTTTATACTTGGTCACCAATTGCTGTTTCTCGATCATAAAAAGCCCCATAATCACACAGACTAGGATCTGGAGAATGGGCGGGTTGAAGCCATTGTTGGATATTCCTTTGCTCAATCTATCGAGTAATTGAGGTATAGGAATGAGGTTTGGCATTGTTGTGAAGTAACCAAACTGAGTAGCGCCAACTGTGTATGAGTCTACTGAGGTATTTGAGATAGCGAGCTGCACTCATTTTCGGCGAGTATCTCATAGTGACAGATGCCCCTGCTGTCCGTTGCAAGTATCGTCAACACTCTTCCCACCGTCTAAACCTAAACTGGATTTTTCCTGAGGGCAACGCCTTTCTCTCGCCCGATCGTCCAACTAGCAGCAGAGATTAAACCATGTCTCGTCTATCGCGATTGTGTGCTCCAGGCGATTTTTTTTTGACTAACGTTCCGTAAATCCTGTGTGGCAGTTTTAGCGTAAAATCAATTCATGTAAGATCCGCCTTTTACCCAATGTTCGCATTTTCAGAATTGGGATTATAATTCCGTAAGCGGTTACATGTGAAATGCCGGTTTTCGCCGACAGACCCGTTAGACTCCAAGGTCCGCTTTCGTGGAAAACCAATTACAGCAATGCCTTCGCTTTCATGTCCTGAGTTGTAGTCACATTCTCCCTGGCCTTCAATACTCTATTCTTAAAAAAATTTGCATTATTCGCGTGTTGTGTTTTCGCTTAAGCCTTTTTGCATAATGTTGTGACCAATTTTTGACAATTTCTGCAGTGCTCTGGCCTTCGAAGAACAGAAATTTGACCACTGAGAGTCGACCTTGTGAGACAAAAAATGTTTTCGTTTTTTCGAACTAATCCTTCTTGGAGTAAATTTTACCGGTTTTTACTTCCATATTTCTAGAAGAATAGCGTATTTACCAGTAAAATTTAGTTCTGCGGCGCCTAGTTTGCAAATGCCGAATCCACTTGTAACAGCCTAACATATAAATATACGTATATATGTACTCTCGCGCAGTTAATTTTATCTATATAATTTACAATCAATAACATTCTAATTTCATATGTCTAGGACCACCTCAATCAACCCCAACTTATCCTCGCCTGTAGAATCATGTAATGCTATGTTACTCAATGTAGCGACCCGAACTGCTTTTACCCTCGTTCAAAAAGTGTAGCCTTAGAAAAGACAAAACTGTTCTACGAAGTTAATCTATCATTAAACTTCTTGATGCCTTAACAAACGTTAAATAGCATGTAAACGTATATACCTGACAAACGTATGTACCTCAGTGACATGAATCGCACAGAATTTCTAACCTTATCGTTTTGAAAACAACATGTCCCTTTATTAACAGGAAATGGAAGGCCGGCATAACTCTGATCCCATATAGCCAATTTCAGTCGTCATATTCCTACGACTTACTAATTATAAATCAGTAATCCTTTGTAGACACGCCGATTTCTTGAACCACTTAGATGGTTTTAAAGCGAATCTCGTAGTCTGCTGCAGGCAGGCAGGCAGGCAGGCGGGCTAACAAGTTGCAAATGATAAACGTTCATATGGTGTCCCCTCGCAAAGAAGTAAGCGCGAGAACGCTTACTGCCTATTCGCGAGAAAAAAAATAAGAACAATGAGCCAAACATTCAACGAGGCATGTCTATGGAGCACTTTCGAATCGTAAACAATCTCGAGTCACCCTAAAATTGCACCTTAAAACCTTTTAAAGGTTGCACCCCGCGGAGTGAACCAGTTAACTGAACAGATGAGAACTGAATTTAAAAGGGACGAAGGATGGCCCGTTTCGTCAAAACAAAACGCTTAAGAACGCACAGTTGAAACTTCGGGCCCAAAGCGGACTTGGGGAATAGACGTATGGTAAAATATTGGATACCTTAACTATCACCAAAATTCATCGTGCCTCATTAGTATCCTGGTAGCTCTCCCGACGTGGCGTACTCAGTTTCCTAGCTGCACGCCGTGTGTTCATTTCCTATCATATGAATTTCTTTGTTCCTTCTTCCCCCCATTCGGCTGAGAGCTTTGGCCTTGGTCTGCCTTATTTTCGCTCCTGGTTGTTCCTCCGAAAGCTGACTGATCTCCAATCCCCTTATAATAAAATACTGCCACATCTCTCACGCCCTGAATGTTTAAACATTTACTACCGAATATCTGATTCGCGAGATGAACCCCATCAATAGTGTACCATCGTCAAAGTACAATTTGGTTATTTTTAGGATCGGCTGCGAAGGCTCTATGTACTTGCTACATTGAGAACGGTCAGCAATGCGATCCCACCTCCTCCCCCCCCGCCCCGCGGTTCGGCTGAGGTATTAGCTGAAAGCATAGCTGCGTCGGCCAGAAGGATGCTGCACAAGTTGCAGTGATTACATGATCCCGTACATAAGGCTCACGGCAATTGTCTTTCATGGATCGGCATTATCGTATGCAACAAGCTGAGTAAGAAGACTAATTAGCAAATCAAATAACTATACTGTACATAATGCCTCGACATTTTTCTTTTAAGCTTGAGGTAAGCACTTTCCTTTGACCCTTTTATTGGCCGGACGGAAGTGGTGATGTAATCGAAAATAATACTACTCCAACATCGTATAGTCGCTAAGCATGTTAGTAACAACAATGGCCCTCGATAACATTATCATCATCATCTCGCCACCGTTGAGTGAGCGCGCCTAACAACTCAAATGGTTCGGTCGTTAGCATTAACTAATCTATATCGAGCTGCTAAAATGTATGCAAGATAACCTCGCCCTCCCCCAAAAAAGACGAAGCGACCTGTGGCCTAGGACAGCAATAGGCTCCAACAGAAAACTGACATAATAACTGTAACAGAAACCTGTGGTTCGGATTCATCCGTTGTTGTGGTAACTGTGGTGGTGAGTGAGGACGATGCATATTCCAAGCTGTTGTACTCTGATGGGCCCGTTGTATCAAGGTCGTCAGCATCATTCGATGGCCTCATGCTCATTTGAAGATCGTCGCGTGCAGAGATAAATATATTGAAAAATTCATCCGAGGCAGTGGTTGCAACTGATCTCACCAGCGGGAATTCGAATTCGTCTGCCGCAGTGTATAACGCGCTAACTACTGAGCCGACTCGTCGGCTTGCAAGGATAACGACGTTAACCGAACATTGACTACCCAGGATTAGTGCTACAATCAAATCGGTGCATAGACATGTTTGCTTACCCAAAACAAGTGAAATCGTCTAGGCTCAAAACTGGATATAGACACATTTCATGCGGTTCGAAGCAACGCTTAACGACGGTGCTGCCGGACGGAAAATATTTAGTAATGATTGCGGGTCAAATGTGCAGGGCAAATGAAGTTCAGACAAGAAAGCGTGCAAAATGACAACAATACGTCCATCGTTGAACTTTATTAACGAATGTCTTGATTTTAGTGTCAGCGCCAACTGTCTGTGTTTCCTGTTCAGGACAGTGTGATCTGTGGAAGCAACATCGATTCAGCTAAGGCTAACCGCGACGCTCACGCCTTATATCAATACCTATCTCCATTCGAGCGGATGTATATGACACATGCTTTTAAATGCTTTTGTAAAAACATTGGTCGCAAGAATACAAATAACGTTGGGCATATAATTGCGCAACCCAGTGACCACCCACGATAGCGTTCTCAAAAATGCAGCTGCCAGAATCAAAAAGGAGACATCAAAATCACTGAGGCCGAACATCAAGCGATTTGTTTCGATAGTCGGAATTAAGTACCAAATAATCAGATATCGGAAGCACTTGCAAGCAAGATATGCCTTGACCAATCTGATACCACTGAAAAAAATCTCCAAAAAACTCTTACAAGAGGGGTGCACCCTCTAGTGAAGACAAAGCCCAGTGCGAGAACCGCTGACCACATCCAGGTAGGCAGGCAGGCAGGCAGGCAGGCTAACCCCTGGCGGTCTGCTCTGAGTAAATCTTCTTTTGGATGTTGATTATTACCCGTGTACCGAAAGTTATGCGAGCTGGCGTGACCGATGGGAGCCGTGATAAGCGCTATAATGCTCATAATTCCTAAGGATAATATATGACAATGTGGCGTCTCTCAAGGAGTGAGCTACTTCAAATCCTGTATTCTAGTCCGTTACCTAATGTATACACTGAACGTAGCCGAAGTTTGCTTTGTAGGGCAACCTCTACTGCATGAAGAAAAGATGTGACCTTAATCAGGTCTTGGAAAATCTAGACAATCAGGGTCGAACGTTTAACAGTTTTTTCCTTAATCTTTCCCTAAATCGCATCGACTCCGGACTCAGCCCTCAACCCTTCGTTGTCCGCCAGAGCTAACTTTTCTTGAACTATTATTATCGTAAGTTGACCGGTGAGCTATGACGGGTGTTAAGCTTGGAACCGTTGTCCTGCCGGCACACAGACGTGACAGCATCGCTTGCGGCAAGTCATTTTTTCTACGGATATCACAACCAGCTACTTTGATCAGTACGAGCGGCTTAAATCTGCTTATCTGAGGTCTCATCAGTGAAATTTAGGACGACGGTGGCAAATGCAGTGGCGTTAATCCTGGCTTCCGGCTAATAACAGTTGGCTTCGCTGGCGCATATCCATCTATTCGGTAAGCTCATACTAGCTAGTCTTTATAGAGAAATCAACAGTGGTGGCTATGTAGAAGCGTTAGATAGAGGAAATATAATTTTATAGTTAGTAGTTTTGTATTTAAATTTAAAATATTGTTACAAATTGTATCTTGCAATAAACTTCAGTGTTCTCACCCTTAATCCATCGAAGCAGCGCAGCAAAGTTCTAAAATAGGCGTTGTACTTCTGATAGACTAGTTGCCACACATGTTCGATTGTAATATCTGTGAGGACAAATACAAATTTGCCCTCGGCTCTAATCAAAATGAGAATCCGTGGCGCACAATTGAGCGACTGCGGTAGTCCCCCACAAAAACATGTTTGGTCACACCTTTGAAACTACTTGAAAACAAACCTAAACGTCAATGACAAAATCTCTATAAAAAATAATAACATTTTTATTAAAAGATTTGATAAACTAGACCGCCGTAAAAGCCCGCCCATCTTACACTCGCCTTACAATGAATTTACATCAAGTCATTAGACATTCAACCGTTACTAGTCATAGCTTCAAAAAAGTGCCATAAGATGATATTATATTGGAGACTTGTTGGCTTTATTGGCTGATCAGTATCTATCCAGAAACGGATCGACAAACTCAGGGAAACTGGATACGATGAGAGAAGGACGGGAGCAATTTCAACTTACTTCATGGACGCCACTGCTGCTCCTGGCAGGTTGGCCGGCCGGGATTAACAAACTGGAAATAAAAACGCAAACAATGGTCATAAAAATTAGTAGTAGTATTTTGTGGATGCCTCGAGACGACTATTACTACAAACAACAAACGGTGCTATAGCTATGAAAAATATACAGTAATAATGAGTAACAATGTATGACAATCAGGTAGGCGGCAGTACCCAAATTTAGGTCGAGTTCGCTTAAAACCTACCGGGATGAAATTGTTCGAATGTGTTCGGTGGACCGCCTAAAGCTCAATCCGAAATTAAGCTCATAAATGCTGTTCAGTCTCCGTTCAGGCGCTATATACGTTATAATTTCTATGATCAATTAACTAATTTCAGAGCGGCTGTGTCAGCCACCGAGGGTCCATAGCAAACATCATGCCTAAAATTACCTTACATTATCATTCAAATTCAAAACTGAAAAGGACAAAGTTTTAAAACGAACACTTTAGCTTCGATTTAGCTTTTGTATGCTGTATTAGACAGATATTTTATGGAAAAAAAAAAAAAAAAAACGTAATCAGAAACTAAACATTTTTTATAAGCTTAATATAAATTGCATCAAAAATGGCCTAATTATGTAGCGTGGCAGCAAAGTTCAGAAGCATGCGTAGGGAAGCCGATATAGAGTCGTTGGCCGATTAGATAAGGTAGCTTAACTTCATGCGCTGAAAAGTCTGATCGAAGATAGCGCCCGACCTGAACCGAATGTGTTTTTTACGTTAAAATTGTTGCCTTTGTAATGAAAGTAGTACGAGTTACGGTACTGCCGGTAAAGGAATGGTTTTAAAGAACTGTGGAAGGAAAAACTGCTGAGGTTCGCGGTGCGACGGTTGTTCGCTTTATTGAATACGGCCAGTACGTACAAATCAGGTGTCCGACTTTGTCTTCTACAATTCGTGGGGAAGCGTATCTGATTATCAATACTTTCATCTAATCGATGACAACGACGAAATGGGTCTCACTTATTGCGTGGCCTTGTGATTCTACATGAAGTCGCAACGGAATTACACGGAAAAGAGTTAATCTGAGCGGTCGGAATATTGAACGTATATAAGCCTCGACGAAATGCACAAATGCACTGAGTGAGCCAAGCAAATCGCACAGTCGGAGACCGGGATGGGGTTTGTTTGCCGGATAAATAGTGTTCTGATATTTTGGATTCTGCCGTTTAGCACTTTAGGCGTTCAGACGAAAGATGCCTCAAATTCTACGCATTCGAGCGCATTGAACATCCCGGTAACACAATGGTGTAGTCGTTTCCATTTACGCTGCAGTAGCCCAGTACCTCGTCAACGGGATAATGAGGAAACGACAATAGAGTGAGGTGATTTAAACGGAAACGTTTCCCCGGGTAGCAGAATGGTGCTTGACAAATCGCCGTGTCATATGGCAAAGCGTATGTCTGAGGCGTTTACCACTAATGGTGTAGAGATTCCGTCATAGTTTGAAATTTCGAACTTAAATCCCCCATTGAAAATGTGTGGCAAAAACTTGCGAATACAGTGTTTCAAATGTGCGTCCAGGACCCAGGCACAAGGGGATGCGAAGGCCGTGTTGCAGGAATGACCGCAGCCAGGAGTAGGAACAAGGGGGGAAGAGGGCAAACACTGGTTTCGTTCCACAGTAGTTAACGAAATATTGCTCTAACAACAGTATCGTCACGTGCTCTACAACAAATAAAACAGGAGTAGGCAATAGCTCTTATGTACAGCCGCACGCCGATGATAAGTGTAGAACTGTCTGCGATCAAACTCGACAGTGCACGAAGTTTCGCGGCCACCGTCTGGACTCTATATAATATAAAGGAACCCTCAAATCATTGATCCGCTCAGGCAACTATCCCGCCTTTGTCGTAAACGATCTATAATTTCGTCTTACGACGATTCTTGTGATACAATACGACATGTATTTTCGAAGTTTCTTGAAGGTACATATAAACTTCAGCCGTCAACAAAATCGCTGCAAATTAATATGGAAGCTTCAAACTAACAAAACCTAGAAAACTAGGGTTCACCGTTGAAGGCCATAATTTCGCGGTCGACGAAAATGAATCAGTCGGCGGGCAGCCATGAACGCGGGAAGTCTGGTTGTGTACATTAGTATCTGTTTTTAAGTAAAAGTGATCTGTTTTTGAGTATGTTGAGAGTGTGTGTAAACACACAAAAACCAGTGTCTATGGAGGCGATCAGTCGGAGAGTTTCTAAATTGTGTTCCAGTAATAGGCATCATGCCTAGTCTCTTAGTGAACTTTCAATATTAATCGAGCCTAGTTAACTAAATTTCCTCGCCCCCTCCCACGGGCAGTCACTCGAAATCAGTAGAATATCTTATGAAGTAAGAACCTGTATAACGCCAATGTTTATGGGCCTGATGATAAATCTGAAACTGCCAGAAGAGGCGATCGCTGGCATCATAATAAGGGTAGGTACGTATAGGGATGATAGTCATCGAATCTGCGTCTGGTACGCGTTGATTTTGCTTATGCTGAATAGAGACGAGAGAATCCCAATGCAAGATCTTAACTGGTCTATATTCCAAAAATTGCGAGTTCGAAAGTGGTAGAGCAAGCCATATTGGAATCCTTTGCTCCATTAAAATAATATTCTAATGTATTACACTGTTATATTCATTATTAACAGAACCAAAGTTTTTTACAACAGGTGAATGAAACGTGTTCGAGTACACTTCGTCATAACAGGTTGCCTGCAGCATAAATTCCAGACGTATGGATAAGATTTAGATGATTGAGTTCTTCCTATCATCTATTCATATAGACATTTAAGACATCCTAATCTACCACAGGCTAAGGCAGGCCTTATTTCGGGCGTTCCTTTATCAATAATTTAGAATAACGATATTAACGTGTGATGAATGTGGGCGAACGCCGCTATGGCTCTTGCGATGAAGACCTGCTGTTTTGCTTTGAACCTGCTTGATATAGGCGTACGCCTATACGAAATACTTGCTAATTTTGTCTTGCAAGGCCAATTATTAATACAATCCTTCAACAATACATACGTAATCGTCTAAAATCAAGTCGCTAGGTATATATATATAAATTATAAAAATATACAAATTATATATAAATATATATAATAAAAAAAATAAATTATATATATAAAAGTTCCAAGTTAAATGAAAGAATAATGTATCAGAGATAACGCCAAAATTCTACAGAACAACTACCTAGGTTGATCTATTATGACCGGACCCATCTATTTACCGATGACTAGTCAATACGTTAATCGGTAATCAACGTTTCCCGGAACTGTTCCGTCGAAGTCAGCTCTCAGCGCTATTTGTTGTGTGTACAACGATATCGAGTTCTCATTAACGCCTGTCTATACAGGTAAGTGAGGTGCCGTTGATAAGATCTGATGTGATGAGGTCGATTTTTTTGCCTTCAGAGAAATGACCCATTGGTTCTGAGTAATATATAGGCGTAAATGCATTAGTTGCTGACTTGGTAGCAGATAATTATTGATGAGAAGCTTCTGAACAATCCCTTTATTTAATGTTTTTATGTAGATTTATCTTGCATGGAGCCTTACCGTTTATGATCGCAATAAAATGATTAGAAACTAAAAATTGGCTACTCAAACCAATGTAGCTAAGACTGTGTATGGGCCGAACGTAACTGAATCATTCGAGGAGAGTATTGTTAAAGAATTTAGATTTTGCTTGGTTGCTTTTTCGTAGTACAGGGTCTCTATGTTGTAAATTTACCAAGCTTGGAGGATTCGTTCATACAGGAAATAACTAGAGATTCCTAAATAAATAAAATACGAAACCCATGCGACCGTAGCGACCAAAGTAACAAGCAAATGACATTCAGCCAGCCAGCACGGTCATTTGTTTGTCTAAAAAATCTTCGCGAAAGCTTTTTAATGGCGAGTGGCCTTATCTTCGAGCAAGAAACAATTAGGTCCTAGTAGACTATAAAGACTACGAAAGTAAACGCTTCAGAATGTTCAAACTTTCCTCTTTGTGGACAAGTCATTGAAATCACATTATCATATCAGATGCAGCGTCAAGACCCCCCCCCCCCCCAGAAGCCTACCCCGGTGGGTTACGATGGAATTGTGGACCTAGAAAACGTCATGGCAACCACAAACCTTTTAACGTAATACATAAACGTAAAATAAATAACGTAGTTTTCTTTAATTCTTATTTGCCTCCCCATTATAGTTTCTAGTAATAATCTTTGCCGCCGCTGAGGTTTGAGTCAGTGTCGTCATGCTTACCAGTTATAGTTAGCATGGCACCGCATCCATAGAGCTGCGCATTAGACGGCCGGACTACGCGATCTCTAAAGCAGCTTATATCAAAATAGGTTAGTACCAGATTATTGGGACCCGATTGTTCATTAGCGCTAGACTAGTATGATCGTTTAATTGGGATTGAGGTAGGCGACTGTATTCAACCTGACGATGCAGATTAGTCTGATTCGCGTCTTCCTGTCGGGCTGATGTACACAATAGCAGACCAAAAACATTTTCACAGAATGAAGGTTATCACCACCTCTATATGATGCTCAGTTTTTAGCAAAAGCTTACTTTGTCAAAGGGCATTGCAAACAAGCTAAGCACCTAGGTGAGATTTAGGATGGGTTTCTTTAGCGCTGTGTAATTATGTTCTATATACTATAGGAAAAGTTAGTTCTAGGTCTGTGTTGGATTTTGAGTTCGAAACCCTTTTTCAAGGCGGCCTCACCTAAAGGCATTCTTTTCATAAATAAAAACGAATGCTTTTCCGACTGATCCTCTTATTATGGAGATCTTTTGTCGGAGCATGAACATTGTAAGCACGATGCGATTAATATGAGCAGATAAGCGCAAGTGGTCTATCTTGGCACGTCTTCTGTAATTTGCAATATTAAATTGATAAGAAAGTTCCCTTTGGAGCTTCTAGCTGGTCAGGGTAATACTTAAGTCCTCGTAGTAGTGGGTAAAGTATTGGCGTAATAACCTTAGGGGCAAGTGGTAATCTAGATTTGACTCCGGGTGTCGAT